CCAATATTTATAAAGGGGACAAAATCTTTCCCAAGTAATTATAGACCTGTTAGTGTAACTTCTATAGTTGGGAAGATACTGGAGAGTTTAATAAAAGACCACAGAGAGGAGTTCTTGCTGGAAACAAATATTGTAAGCCACAGACAGCATGGATTCATGAACTTCAAAAAAATATAGGTTGCGCTTAAATACATACAAAAAATTTAACAAAACAATAAGAAACAATATATTAATCAAAATAAAATCCAGCAAAAACAAAAAAGTTCAAATAATAAATAATGTCCAAAATAATAATTCACCACATGAATCCACCACCAAAAATGGTTAAATAGAACTCCCCAGAGTAATATGCTGATTGTTGAAAAACCAGCATATAGTACTTGTTACTCTGGGAGAAATAAATATTATGTTGACAGCAACCCTGATGAAATGTGGGATGAACTCCAACAGATGATGTGCTGCAAAGCTGAAAATCCACTTCAAAGGTGATTTAGTATCCAAACTGAGAGATGATCAGACCGTCATTCGAAAGAAAAAAGTGACCAATCATGGTGCAGTATGTTTTAAAAGGCATCAAACTTTAATGAAGAAATGCACTTCCAAGCAAGGTGTCCAGACTGACACCAGTATAAACAGCGTGTGTGATGAATACAAGCTACTCAGACCCAGCTAAACATGCACATGCAACGTGCAAACAGATCAGGAGTGTTCTGAACGTCACATCCAAAGGCACCGCCCTACGCATTTCGTCATCGACGTCCTCACGGAGCGGATGGATGTGAGACGTCAGCTGTTCATTAAATATTCACTGCACCAGACTGACAGCTGGTGACTAATGAGAGCGACTGAGCAAGCAATCCTATCCCAAAACAACAAGCTGTCATGTAAACAAATGGATACAATAGATGGGTAAAATGTAACAATGTGGTAAATAACAAACATGACTTCAATATAAGCAGATAAAAAAGATCATTGGGAACATAAACATCTTGGGAGACAGTAACAAAATAGATACATGTGTCATTAAAGGAAAATCTTCATTCAACATAAACACATGTATCTTGTAATGCACGTTGATGTCTCTGCACACCTATCTAAACAAAAACCTAATATATCTAACGTAAGAATGTATATAAAAATATCTATACAAAACATAAACATGATAAAGAAACATTAAAAAAAAAAAAAAAACATTTAACGTGGCATTGTCAAATAGATACTAAAAGAGAATTCTGATCAAAAATGAAAAGGTTTGTAATACTAATCAACAAGGATAGATAATAATTAAGGGGAACTCTAATACAATAAATAAAATAAAATACTAAAATAAAGGGAACAACTCATGAAAAAATATCTTATAAAAAGAGAAAAGAAAGGGGACTAGGGGAACGTAATATAAAATATCGCAAAAAATGGCATAAAAAAATCAAAATAAAAACAAACGTCAAAAATTAGTGAGAAAACAATTAAGATCAATATCAACGTTCATTCCATTGGGTTTAAGAGCATTCAATTCATAAATCCAATAAGTTTCTTTCTTGGAAATATTATTAATTAAATCCGTGCCCCTCCAATGTGATTTAGCCAAATCAATACCATAAAAGGTTAATAAACTCGGATCACAATTATGTTTCATCTTAAAATGCTTCAAAACGCTGTGTTTTTCGAAACCCTTTTTTATATTGGCAATATGTTCAGCTATTCTAGTTTTAAGACATCCCTCTGTCCGCCCCACGTATGGAAGGTGGCACGGGAATTCCAGGATATAAACTACATGGGTTGAATTGCAAGGAATCAGGGAATTGATTTTATATTCTTTATTAGAACAAAACGAATTAAAGATTTTTCTTTGACTCTGCGTACTGTTCTGCAACATATACATTTGTTGCAATAAAAGAAACCTTTTAAATCTGGAAATAACTCTACTCTTTTAGGGGGGTCTATAACATTCTGGGCTCTTCTTGTCCTTAATGACCTATTTTTCCTATAGACAAATATTGTTTTTTTTTAGGAATAATTTTCTTTAATTTTGTTAAGGTATCATCTTGTAACAAAATAGGCCAATATTTTTTAAAACTTCTTTCAACCTTACGATATTGCATATTAAAATTGGTAAAAAAGCTGATATTGTTCTCAAATTCCTTAGATAACTTATTATTCAAAAGGGACTCTCTATTTTTTTCATTAATTAAATTTCTTTCTTTAAGAAGAAATGGCCTCTCATATCCCTTCTCCACAAATCTGTCAATAATAATATATCTGTTTGATTGATATAGTCTGTTTTCACTACAATTGGCTCCTAGGTGTATTGTGAAGCCATCCAGGATGGTGTCCACTAATTGCAGGAATATAGCTATTTTTATCAACTTTCCTTGAAAAAAGTTTTAGTCAAAATTTCACCATCGCTTTTATATAATATGAGGTCAAGAAAATGAATCTGATTCAGATCGCTAGTTACCGTAAATCTTAACCCCTCGCCCTCCAGAGGATTTACCCCCCTTAATGACCACGCCTCTTTTTTCTACTCGGCGCTGCACTAATTCAACTGATAATTGCGCGGTCATGCAATGCTGCACCCAAACAAAATTTACATCCTTTTTTTCACACAAATAGAGCTTTCTTTTGGTGGTATTTGATCACCAGTGCGCTTTTTATTTTTCACGCTATAACCAAAAAAAGGCCAAACATTTTGAAGAAAAACAATATTTTTTACTTTCAGCTATAAAAAATATATAGTAAACTCAAAGTTAGTTATAAATTTAGGCCAAAATGTATTCTGCTCCATGTTTTTGGTAAAAAAATCCCAATAAGTGTATATTGATTGCTTTGTGTGAAGTTATAGCGTCTACAAACTATGGGAGAGATACTGCAATTTACACCCATTTTTTGCTATACAGCGCTGCACTAGTTTAACGGACAATTGCGCGGTCATGCAATGCGGTACATAAATTAAATTTACATCCTTTTTTTCCCCACAAATTGAGCTTTCTTTCGGTGGTATTTGATTGCCTGTGCGGTTTTTATTTTTTGCGCTATAAAAAAAAAGGCTGACAATTTTGAGGGAAAAAAAAACAATATTTTGGACTTTTTGCTATAAAACATGTCCAGTAAAAAAAAATTTAAAAATCAAATTTTGTCATAAATTTCTGCCAAAATGTATTCTGCGACGTCTTTGCTAAAAAAAAAAACCAATACGTGTAAATTAATTGGTTTACGTGAAAGTTATAGCGTTTACAAATGGCGGAAAGATACTGGGATTTTTAGGTTTTTTTTTATATTAATAATGGCGGCGATCAGCGACTTATGGCGGCGATCAGGACTGCGGGACTGCGGTGGACATTTGACACTGGGGGGGACTGACTTGGGTCACTGACATCCCCAGTGACACCAATACAGTGATCAGTGCAAAAAAAAAAAAACACTGACACTGTACTAATGGCACTGGGGAGGAAGGGGTTAAGTTTATTTTTCAGGGAAATGGTTAACTGTGTAAGGGGGAGTGTTTTACTAGGGGGCGGGGTGTGTACTGCAGGGAACGCTGCTGATCGGGAGAGAGAAACTCTTCTGTCCTGATCAGCGTGTCCTGGAGCTGTCAGGGAACTGACAGAAAGCACAGCTACTGCAGCTGTGCTCTCTGTCAGCAATTGCTGCCGATTGCTGGGACATAGCCGGTAACAACTGTCTGTAACCTGGCGACTGACATCTGCGGCCACTCGCGTGCAGCCCCCTACCTGTTTTAAAAACACATGTTTTAAAATGTGGTTTTGCCCAGTCGTGTCGCCCTGCCACCGTGTTTCTACAGTGGTGGGCGGCATGCGGTTAAACTTGGACATAGGGGTATTGTGGATCTGGTTCAATTGGAAAATTATTCAGATGTTCTGTGGATATTATGTGGTCAATGTATCGCCTGTATACTTGGACAAAGGGGATTCACTCTTCATCCATTACCACAATGGTATACTTGGACAGAGGGTGCAGTGGGTGTGGCGGTGGACACTCAGACTGGGACGGGTTGGCCACTCAGACAGACAAAGGGGGGCGCTGGAGTGGGACAGAGGGGTGGCAGTGGGTGTGGTATACTTGGAGGTGGCAGTGAACGTGGCTCAGACAGGTGGCGTGGACGTGTATACTTGGACAGAGGGGCGGTGGCGGTGGACATGGTATACTGGGGCAGAGGGGTGGCGGTGGACGTGGTATACTTGGACAGAGGGGTGGCAGTGACGTGGTGTAATTGACGAGAGGGGTGGCGGTAGACGTGGTATACTTGGACAGAGGGGTGGCTGTTTTGGACGTGGTATACTTGGACAAAGGGGTGGCAGTGGATGTGGTATACTTGGACAGAGGGGTGGCTGTGGACATGGTATACTTGGACAGAGGGGTGGCGGTGGACATGGTATACTTGGACAGAGGGGTGGCGGTGGATGTGGTATACTTGGACAGAGGGGTGGCAGTGGACGTGGTATACTTGGACAGAGGGGTGGCGGGGACGTGGTATACTTGGACAGAGGGGTGGCGGTGGACGTGGTATACTTGGACAGAGGGGTGGCGGTGGACGTGGTATACTTGGACAGAGGGTGGCGGTGGACGTGGTATACTTGGACAGAGGGGTGGCGGTGGACGTGGTATACTTGGACAGAGGGGTGGCGTGGACGTGGTATACTTGGACAGAGGGGTGGCGGTGGACGTGGTATACTTGGACAGAGGGGTGGCGGTGGACGTGGTATACTTGGACAGAGGGGTGGCTGTGGACGTGGTATACTTGGACAGAGGGGGGTGGCTGTGGACGTGGTATACTTGGACAGACAGAGGGGTGGCAGTGGACGTGGTATATACTTGGACAGAGGGGTGGCAGTGGACGTGGTATACTTGGACACAGTTCTCCACACACGGCTAATGTGTAAGGTAAAGTCTACAGGCTGGAAAAATCTGAATGTAAATGGATAGAAAACTGACTAAAAGATGGTATTCAGAGAGTAGTGGTTGGAATGATTCATACTCTGAATGGTCTGGGGTGTCACGTGGTGTCCCACAAGGATCAGTGTTATTAGTGGGGTTCCCCAAGGGTCAGTGGTATAGTTGGACCCCAGGTGTGGTGTAGGCTGTGTATAGTGGGGTACCCCAAGGTTCAGTGTTATTAGTGGTGGGTACCCCAAGGTTCAGTGTTATTAGTGGGGTACCCCAAAGGACTGTGTTATTAGTGGGGTACCCCAAGGTTCAGTGTTATTAGTGGGGTACCCCAAGGGATGTGTTATTAGTGGGGTACCCCAAGGTTACTTGTTATTAGTGGTGTTCCCCAAGGCTCAGTGGTTATTAGTGGGGTACCCCATGGTTCAGTGTTATTAGTGGGGTACCCCAAGGTTCAGTGTTATTAGGACAGGGGGTACCCCAAGGCTCAGTGTTATTAGTGGTGTACCCAAGGGTTCAGTGTTATTAGTGGGGTACCCCAAGGTTCAGTGTTATCAGTAGGGTACCCCAAGGTTAAGTGTTATGGGGGTACCCCAGGGTAAAAGGTTCAGTGTTATTAGTGGGGTACCCCAGGGTTCAGTGTTAGTGGGTACAAGGTTTCAGAGTTATTAGTGGGGTACCCCAAGGTTCAGTACTATTGAGTGGGGTACCCCAGGGTTCAGTGTTAGTGGGTACCCCAAGGTTCAGTGTTATTAGTGGGGGTACCCCAGGGTTCATGTTATTAGTGGGGTACCCCAAGGTTCAGTGTTATTAGTGGGGTACCCCAGGGTTCAGTGTTATTAGTGGGGTACCCCAAGGTCAGTGTTATTAGTGGGGTACCCCAAGGTTCAGTGTTATTAGTGGGGTACCCCAAGGTTCAGTGTTATTAGTGGGGTACCCCAAGGTTCAGTGTTATTAGTGGGGTACCCCAGGTTCAGTGTTGGGGGTACCCTTACTTATTAATATATATAAAAACAATATGGGGTGTGAGATTATAAATCCCATTCCAGTCTTTGCAGATGACACCAAGCTGTGCCGGGGAATAACGTCCTTACAGGATGTCTCCAACTTACAAGCCGACCTCAATGCTCTGTGTAATGAGATGTTGTAACCTGAGTCCTCTACATATAGTGGGGACTCCCCATTGTTGGACACCATTTTTGGATGTTCTTATCAGTAATCCATCTCTAATACTGAATTGAGATTTGGATGTCACTAATAATGGTGGTTCTTTTTGGGGTAGTCTTCCTCCAATATAGGGGTGTTACAGGGTCTTCTATGTGTTTATTATTATTATACAGGATTTATGGCACCACAGTCTGCGCAGCGCTGTACAATATAAGGGGGGCGGTACAATTACAATACATTTCAGTACAGAAGGAATAGGAGGGCCTGGCCCGTGGAGCTTACAATCTGAAGGAAGGGGGAGGGGGATACAAAAGGTGATAGCTGCGGGGGATGATCTGGTGGAGGTGATTCAAGTACAGTTCTTAGGTGGGGGTGGGGTAGGCTTCCTTGAATAAGTGGGTTTTCAAACATCGTCTAAAGGCAGATAGGGTGGGGGCTGACTGGACATGCTGTGGTAGGGAGTTCCAGAGGATGGGAGAGGCTCTGAAGAAGTCCTGGAGGCAAGCATGGGAGGAGGTGATGAGGGAGATAGAGAGGAGGATATCATGGGGGGAGCAGAGCTGGCGATTTGGGCAGGTATCTGTGGATGAGGTTGGTGATGTACCTAGGGGCAGTGTTTGTGGATGGCTTTGTAAGTTGTGGTTAGTATTTTGAATTTTATATGTTGGGTTAGTGCAGTGTTTCTCAACTCCAGTCCTCATGGACCCCCAACAGGTCATGTTTTCAGGATTTTCCCTCAGATGAAACAGCTGTGGTAATTACTAAGGCAGTGAAACTGATCAAATCACCTGTGCAAAATAATGGAAATCCTGAAAACATGACCTGTTGGGGGTCCATGAGGACTGGAGTTGAGAAACACTGGGTTAGTGGAAGTCAGTGAAGGGATTGGCAGAGAGGGGCAGCAGTCACTGATCGGTTGGTAAAGTGTATGGCCGTGATTTACTAAAAATTGAGTCTACCAGCAGACTCTGACCATTCAGGCAGACTCAGTTAAATCAATGAGGACCTGTCAGTCCTCTGAGCGACGTCTAGCAATCTCATTGATAAACGTCTACTTTACTATTAGTAAATGTGGAATCGCGTCTGGCACATTTTTAGGTGCAATACCGGATATGTTCGCTAGATGGCGCACAAGCGCGGGCTTTGTACCATTGGTGCTTTCCTGTTGGCATAAGAGAATACTTAGAATGTAAAATAATTAGTACATCGAGATTAGAATTGTTTTTTTGCTGTTTCTCCCCAGAATGATGAGACAACTATGCATTTCCTAATGAATGTCATACATTCTATTTTCAGATGTTAAACATTTTCACACTTATATCTCCAATAATTGGGAATGTCTAGTTTCTGAGCTCCCAATATAATGATTATCTCTTCCTTCTCTGTAATCATGTAACTATTCTATGTTAAGGTATTAATGCGCATGGGTTATACACATCACACATCTGGGGGTGCAGCGGTATGCTGGCAGCTATGGGTTAGTCATCCAGCTCCATCCATCCATCCATCCATCAGGGTGGGTGCCCAAATGGTCCTGGGGAGGAATTAGCTCAGCCACAGGAGCCAGAAAGGTGCTTAATAGTGTAGTACACTGTCACAAGGGTGGATGACCTTTCACGAGTTCATGCACTACTGTCCGTCACGGATAAACCACACGTGCCATTCATAGGCACTCTCTGAGTTGGTACTCCTCACACCAAGGACATTCCATTATTCACGAATGATTAGATGAACTTTTTTTTAGCACCATTTACCATTTTACATCATCATTAATGGGCAGCACAGTGACTTAATGATTAGCATGTCTGCCTTGCAGTAAATAGGTCATGGGTTCGATTCCCAACCGTGGCACCTCCTGCATGGAGTTTACATGTTCTCCCTGTGCTTGCGTGGGTTTCCTCCGAGTACTCCAGTTTTCTCCCACACTCCAAAGACATGCTGGTAGGTGAATTGATTCTTGTCCGAATTGGCCCTAGTATATGGGAGTTAGGGACCTTAGATTGTACACCCCTTGAGGGTTAGGGACTGATGTGAATGTACAATGTATGTGTAAAGCGCTGTGTAAATTGATAGCGCTATGTACAGTCAGGTCCATAAATATTGGGACATCAACAACAAGTGGGAGGCACATATGAAAACTGTTGTAATTCCTACACCGTTCACCTGATTTGGATGTAAATACCCTAAAATTAAAGCTGACAGTCTGCAGTTAAAGCACATCTTGTTTGTTTCATTTCAAATCCATTGTGGTGGTGTATATAGAGCCAAAAAATGTTTGAATTGTGTCCATGTCCCAATATTTATGGACCTGACTGTAAGTACCTGAAATAAATAAATTATTGCACTTTTTGGATTTTCCATGCGTTGATGATTGATAACATGCATTTATAGCGCTGCACTATTACTGTAACATATTTCTATTCTGGGACTGTTGCCAATACCCTGAGTGCTAGCTGCTACCTTCATATCTATACCTAGATTTATATTGATCTTGTGTAATACCATTTTAGTAGTCTATATCATTTGACCAGCGCTCGCTTTATCATTTTTAAACAATGTAACTATTCTACTTTGCAGCTCAAACTGTGTCTCCTACAGTGGCTGAGTGGTTAGAACTCAGAACTTACAGCACTTGGGTCATGGGTTCTAATCCCAGTCATGGCTGCATCCCAGTTTGCATGCTTTCCTCTGTATGGATGTGTTTCTGCCAACACTCCAAAGACATGCTGTTAGGTTCATTGGGCCTAGTACATGGCTGAGTTTTTGCCCTTAGATTATAAGCTCCTTGACATTTATGAATGTTAAAAAAAATGGAGATACATTTTCTGGGTTCGGTCAGTGACAGGAATATTGATCAATCAATTATGATTTTGCCTAATGACTAAAAAGTGGAAAGGGAGTGACTCTTACCTGCATCCCGTTCTTCTGACAAGTTGGAAATGTGCAAGTTTCATGCTGTGTATATTTCATTGTAACTTTTTTATCTTTTTTAAACCTGTCTTCTTATACAACTTGTCCCCCTCCCCCACCCCATCATCACCTGTCCCATATGCAAATCTATGGATCACCGCCCCACTCTTTTTAACTATTTACTGATCAAGTGAATGTGTCTCATTTTATATCAGCTACAGCTCAGATCTCACATTATTATAGGATTCCTGATTGTATCTCACCACTAGTCTGATTGAATTCACAATTCCTGGTCAGTCCCGTTCCCTGACCTCTAATAATCTTTAGGGCCAGTTCACACTACATGTGTTTCAGTTGCTTTTTCGGCATCACAAAAGCACAGAAAGAAGGTAATATGGTTGTCAATGTATTAGTTCACATCAGCACTTTCATTTTCAGTGCATTGCAGGTGCTGTAAACAAAGTTGACCACGCTGCATTGTTTCTGCACAGAACTGTACTGGAACACATTGAAACGTCCTTGAATGTACTAAAACGCACATGTCCCTAATTAAATTGAATAAAAAGAAAGTAGAAAAAACTAACTGGAAGGGATACAAAAATGCAATGCAACGTGTCCAAAAGGCATCCAAAATGTACTGGAACACACTAAAACATGCATGCCAAAAGGGCATGAAAAAAACGCATCAGGAACACATCTAGACTGTTTCTATAGTGTGAACTGGCCCTTAGGACTTGTTCACACCATTGGTGGTGCAGAAACGCATGCAAGAACACACATTTTCCAGCACAGCAAAGAAATGCAATGCCCTCTGTAGATGTGCGCAGGTACCATGATGAAAATGCAATTGCACCTACACACGTCTATTAAAAAAAGTCCCATT